ATAACTTTGTAGCTATTTATCAGATGTAACGTAGCTCAAAACATACAGCATTTTTAGAAAACATTTTTTCTAAAATATCTACTACATATCGTTAACAAAAAATAGATTTTTGAAATTTGCAAAAAATCTTTATACATCTTTTACTGATTTCTAGTTTTTACGTACTGTTTCTGATTGTATGAGAAAAATTAATTTTTTTTCATGTAGTGTACACATTGTTTAAAGATTATTTTACACCGGCATTTTTTCATTAGACTTGGTATTCATTCGACATACAATATAATGTTCCTATAAAAATCCAATTTTTTTGCCTGAGGAAATTCTCCCAAAGTGACCCATGTTAGCATTTTTGGTTTTTACATGTTTGAATCCGTCTACAAAAGTTTAGAAAAATAATAACTTTAACCATATTATTTGCTACTTGATGCCTTGTTCAATCCTTAAGTTACAGGCCTAATATTCTTTTAACCAGCTATCATTTTTTAAAGCAGTGCCTCTGGAATGGTCTGGAAGTTCATTATATACATTCTTAATTGACATTGGAACCTTCTCTTGCTATATGTACTCTTTTTAGTCCATGGCTGCCGGGGTATTATAATTTTTATTAAACAGGTCTCTAACAAACACACTAATACAATTTTTGTTGCTTGCATTGCTAAAAACCAGATTTCTTACAAAAATGAGATTTTTTTAAAATATTAATAAACAATAGATATAAAATAATAAAATAATAATAATATAAAATACCATAATTTTTCAACAACATATATTAATAATATAAATCCACAAGAAAAAAATGTATTTAATTTTGCAAGGTTTCGTCCTTATATTTTTAAATTTCAAAACCATACTCAAAATACTAACAATATCAAGGTTTTTGAAATATTTTACGATTGTTTTGAAAATCACTATTAAGCACGAAAAGTTACAAAATATTTTTTGTATAAGATTTCTTTTCTTGTTAAAAAAAAAGTTTAATATCTTGAGAGAAACATATGGTATTTGTAAACCTAAAGGTTAAATAGAAATCCTATTAGAAATGAACAACCGTGATAAATTTATTCAACAAAACCGGTTTAAGAAATAGGTATAAAAATTCCATCATGTTTGTTATTAAGGCTGTTATAAACTATGTTATTAACAATCTATTATAATTAGTTGGCTAAAAATTATATATATGAAATCTAGGATGCTCTCTAAATTATTAACGATTAAATCGGTAAAAATTATTACAAAAATAACTCAATATTAATAATAAACTTAATTGATAAATAATTATTAATAACTTAATAATTATCTATATAAAAAAACACTCTCAGGATGTTATAATATCTACGAATAACACAATAAAATAACTGTAATTGTTTAAAAGACACTGGATAGAAACGAAGTTTACACGACTAGGTGGGGCAGAAGACAAACATGTTTACAACCTGAACAAGCTATATGTGGAAGCACCCCGTTGTTTGGTAGGGTTGCTTTACGACTGCTCTGAGGTATTGGTCAGTATATCTGACATGAGATTTTGCCCTTGAAAAACAAAATGATACTGAGTAGTGTCATATAATTTTACAATATCAGCATTTTCCTGGAATAAGAAGCAACAAATAAATAATTGGTACATTCTTCAATTTTATTATTCTTATTTTTACGATTTATCTCCTATGTAATAAGAATTTATTAAGAATTTTATATATATATTTCATGTAATAAATAAATGTACTGTTCGTATTTTTGACAAAGTTAAATGTCTCGGGCACAGGGACTCCAACTCGTATTCTTCGGCTTACCAGATTTGCGTATATTGCAAACCCGCAAGCCCAGTTCTCCTCTCTTCTATGCTTATTTAAAAATATGTATGAGAATAATTATTATAATCAACATTCACATAAAGACATCATAGTCCACTTTGCCAATATCTCTCCAAGCATAATATATCTTCCATACTGTTGAATACTTCCAAAATTTTTGTAGGAATAGATAAAGTTATTACCAAAAAGTAATTTTTTAACTTTTTGTGATTTTCAAAAATTTGCACCGACATCAAAAGATAATAAAGTGAAAAATTTCTTTGGTACCTGTAACTTATTATTACGTCCTACAAAAATTAATGGAGTACTGAGTAATGAATGTAATTCATTTTTAAAAATAATAAATATGAAATTATAAATAGAATAAAATGTAATAAAATTGTATGTAACCACTTAAAGTAATACCGAAAAATCCACATGATTGTCTTAAGGCCATAAAGAAGTCAGCGTAAATAAAAACGAAAGATTTTCATTTAAAACATACCTCAAATAAATATTTTGGTGACAATTAAATATCAACAATTGGTCTTATAAAAAATAAATAAAAGTTAAATGATAATGCAGGAAGGAAAAGAATTAGAAAATAACAGTAAAACCATTTTAATAGAAATATTCCAAAATCGTTCTTGGTCTCTGCACGATTTAGCTAGTAATTTTTCAATTAATCTTTTAAACGCAATTTTTATAGATTTTTCCTGAGGAAACATATTATCTCCTTTACTTAAATATGAACCAGTATATTTAAAAATGTCTCTACTTAGCTTTAATGAGCTTTTATTTTGCACATAAAAGTTTTGTAACATTGATACATTACGTATTTTTTATACCTATATGAAAAATACATTAGCGAACACCAAACATCGCTTTTATAAGTTTAATAATTTGTGATATGAGCACAAGAGACAGCATAGAAATCAGAGGAAGATGGATGGCACAGTAGATTGGCAGGTGTATCGTTTCATCCTTTTATTGTATGGTTCAGCAAGAGCTTGTCATTCAAGGTGGCTTCTTGTCGTTATTTATTCATTAGATTATATATATATATATATATATATATATATATATATATATATATATATATATATATATAGGTATATAATATACTTTATAAAAAATAGCTAACTTAAGATTAAGTAATACATAAAAGCAGGGTGCCCATCCCATCCCCAAGACTGATGGCACATAAACCTTCCCCCCACCCCTCCCAAGATATTTTATTCCTCTCTTCTTGTTAAAAACATTGCAAACGAAAGTAGACTTTAAATATTCGTAGATTATATATAATTACATATACTGTGGTCTGTTTCATGCTTCCATTGGCTTTTAGTTTGAAATTTTTCATTTTGAACATTCATAACCCCGTCGAAATTTGCCCCCCTCATAAATTTTGATGGCGCAACTTGCGTCATAAAAGTTCCTTCTGGGCACCTCTGCATACAAGTCGAATGGGAGGATACTGTTGCCAGTGATGCCCGCATCCTACTAAGCATCAACAACTGGCGAGCGACAGAACAGCCGAATTACCTGAAGACTGTTAAATGTTAAAGAGACCAAAGACCACATCGGTCTGTAGCGCTAAGGAATGTGTGTGTGTTATTATTAATTTTATATAAATATTAATTTTAATACAAATAAAACATTGACAATGAATAAGAAGATTTTTTCGGCGGTGATTTTTGATATTCGTCCCTCAGTTTAATTTAAATCAGTTCTTAAGATTATAAAGATAGAGAATCTTATATGTTGTCACCCTATCGTATGGGTCCTAAACCAGGGGTATCGTAACAATGGTCCGTGGGACACATTGTGACCTTAGTAAGAATATGACCTCCAGTGCGGGCCATACCTTGCAATGAAAAAAATAATGTTCTAAAGATGACACTTCAGTTGTAAAATAAGCTTTCTGAGAGAAACAATTCATGCAATCTAACCTTGTGATTGAATGATTTACTAAATTTCATATTTTTTAAATAGTTTACAAAATTTTACTATGTAATCAAAGAAACTTTTTTGCGGGCCATAGTTTGGAGACTCTTGTTTTAAGTTAAAGACCCAGAATGGACCAAACAGTGAATTTAGAGAAAAAGTTCGAAACCTTCAAAACTAGACTACCTTAGATAGTGACATTAAACTCGAGATATTATTGTCGATTGTTCACATTAAGAATTCAAAAAGACAAATCAAACACAAAAAAAAAAGAAATCTCTGCTTTTTTTATAACGTTCTTACATTTAATCACTTTTCTTTGTACTATAACTGTTGATCCGTTAATTGATTTAAAAAAATAAATATCCATGACGGCTAATAAGAGGGTGTCACTGCGAATTAATTAATTGGAATTGTCAAGATTCATTTACCAGGGCCGCTAAGAATTAATATTTACTAACACATGTAGGGAATTGAACCCACAATGTTTCAAACAATGCACTTTCGTACCCTCGTCTTAACGTACTGAGTAATCAAATTCTTTAAGTATAATGATAAGTGAAGTTCATACCCCATTTTAAGTGTTTTTCATAGCAAGAAACAGATTTATATTATAATTATTAGGGGAGCAGCGTAGCTCAGTGGGTGAGCACTGACTTCCAGAGCTCAAGGTGCTGGGTTCGAATCCGGCTTATTCGATTTAGTTATTACTAGTAATTTTTCATTAGCCGTGGATCGACCCTAGGATCGGGAGACCCTCCTAGGGCATACCCAGACTCTATAAAGCGGGTACTCTTAATTATAGAAAATAATTATGGGAGAAAACCTGGAGGTTGAGACTGATATCGGCCCCATCAGCTCCCTGCACAACCGTTGTCTTTGAAACAGTACTTCCTCACATAGTACTGCATCCAAGACTTCATGGGTTGTAGTGGTACAGGTTTTTTTTTTAATTTTTTTTTTTATAATTATTATTAACTATATTTTGTACCATTTCTTCTTTTTCCCCAACATTGTAGGGTAGAGACTATCTTTTTTAGAAAAAATAATACATAATTTGCATGCATTATTATTCTCAATAGATGATCAAGTTTTTTAAAATTAATTCGTTCTTTAGCATTTTGATTTTATTGTTACAGGAAGAAATGTGTGTAGATATTATGCATAGTTGTTATCCTATCACTGTAGAAGATACTAAAAAGTAAAATATTTTATGTCTTTTTACGAACTTTTATTGTCATGGATTCTCTTGACTTCTTTTAGGAGAGGGAGGAGGAGTTAAGGTGGGCCTTGGGTTCACGGAAGACATGGCTCTCGAGCTGCGTAGCAGTACTGAGGAGCTGGACTTCCACGAGCCAGAGCCCGAGAGGAAATCCAAGAGGAAGAAGTTGCAGCAACAGCAGGCTGTTGTCGTATGTAATATATTAGATTTAAAAAATATAGATATATTATGCATATTAACTTAACTTTTATTTAATTTATGAACAAGTGCTCGAAGATCCAGGAATATTAAACTTAACACCATTCTACCACACACACACACACACACACACACAGAGTTCGTTACTACTTTCCCCAACCATCAAACTTCTTTTTGAGCTAATGTAACAGTTAACATGAAGGTAGTTAACGAAAAAAATTAATCCATTCAGCTTCTTGTCAATAGCGTAACTATAAAGAAACCTCTGGGACAAAGTTTTAAACATATTGAAGACGATGTAAGATAATTATATGTCGCTTTATTCAAAACTAGGATGAGTAGAAAACCGGAGAACATTTACTATTAACACATAATTAGGAGTTTTGTTTTTTAAATTTTGAATTATGTTTATTGGCTGTTTTAACGAGATTCTAACAGGTGTAATCTCAAGAATAAAAAAAAAAAAAAAATAGAGGTTTAATGTTTCTAAATTGTTTTCGTTATTAATAAAATTTTCCTATTGTTTAATCATTTCTTTACATGGTTGTAATTTACCTTTTTAAAATGAAATATACTTAAATAGGAAGAGGATTTACAAAACTTAATTTTTATCGAAGTGTCCGGTTTTATCATTAGCATATTCACTACAGCTCAAATGGTAACTTGGATGTTACATAGATTCTATTCAAAGCTATTTGGAACATAGCAAATATTTGCAGAGAATATACGTGAGACAGAAGAGAGGACGTCCATTTGACAGAACTACATGTAGAGCATCAATTCGACGAATGGTCGATATCTGAAGACTGCATTACCAATTCATGAACCTCCTCTCCTCCCTTTTACCTGTATTGTATTACCATATTACAAAGAGCTATTGAACATATGGAAGCCAGACATTTCAATTCAACAAAGCAATTTTATGTATATCCTTGGAATGTTTTAGAAAAATCCAATAAATTATATCAGCTCTCCGGTTGATTGATTTAAATTTAAGGTGGCCCTATTTAAGTTTCAACGGTTTTTAATTATTATTGAAATAATCATTGATTTTCAGTTGTTTTTTTTTTTTAATTCGTAATCGGCTCTACCCTAGCGGGTCATTGGCGGCTAGTTTTCTATATTCTATTGTAATGTTTCGTCTCTATTAAGTATCGCAGTAGGGTGGTGACTCCATCTTCGTTGTCTCTCAGTATCTCTTTTATTGTTGTTGGAAGTTTCAATTTTTGCCGAATGTCGTTGAAATCGTGGCACTCTACTAACAGGTGTTTTACTGACTGCGGATTATTGTCACACTTTTCGCACGTGGGTGGTTCTACACCTCTGAGAAGGTACCCGTGGGTAAACAGGCAGTGACCAATTCTTATTCTACACAATATGGTTTCTTCTCTTCTGGATATTCTGGTGCTAGTAGCCCACTTGTTGCAGTCTCTTTTTATTTCTAATAATTTTGACTTTTCAGTTTTCTATCTATTTACCCAATTTTCCAATAACTTCTTTTTTGTTGCCTGAACCCAGTCCTCCACTGTGGTACAATCTATTGAAATTATGGTTGGTGTCTCTCCCTTCCTTGCTAAGTTAGCTGCTCGGTCTGCTCTTTCATTGCCTGTGATGCCACAATGAGATGGAACCCAGACAAATATCAATCTGAACGTTCTTTTTTTTAATTCCCACCATAGATTCAATATATCTCTTATAATTGAATTGCTTGGCCATGGGTTACCAATTGCTGTCATGACGCTTTTGGAATCTGATGCTATTATCCATTGATTGACATTGGAATTTGATATCCAATGGAGGGCCTCCATGATCGCAGTAGCTTCTCCGGTAAATATGGAGCTCTCTCCAGGTAAGCTAAACAGAAGTTGGTGTTGGTTTTTATTAATATTTACAGCGCAGCCAACACTATTTTCCATTTTGGAGGCATCGGTATATATCACATTATATCCTTCGTATTTCTCCAATAATTCAAAAAAGTAGTTTTGGATATCCAGTGGCTATTTCTTGTTACGTCTCGTCATTGATACATCTACAGTCGGTCTACTGTTCTTCCAGTTAGGGATTTTGAGGTTAGGGATGCGTCTAATTGTGTTCAAATCCATGTTCACATAATATAGCGTTTTATAAATCATTTGTTTAAATATGCTCTCCTCTATCCCCTGAAGTCCTCGCCTACCAGATCTTTCATCAAATAGTTTTGAACTCAAGGGGTGTTGTGGACATGCTTTTAATTTGGATACATATTTCATTGATAAATACATTCGTCTCATCTCTAATGAGGGTTCTCCAGATTCGGCATATATACTTTCGACTGGAGAAGTTCGGAAAGCTCCTGTGCAGATTCTAAGAGCCGTATTGTGGATGGAATCAAGCATTTTTAGCAACGTTTTGCGACCTGTTCCATATATTTGGACTCCATATTCAATTTTACTTCGAATCACACTATGATATATTTGGATGAGTGTCTTTCTATCGGCTCCCCAGCTTGAATGGGCAATGCATTTAAGAAGTCCAATTCTTCTTGTACATTCGTCTCTTAAGTGTTTTATATGATGAACCCAAGTCAGTTTCTTATCAAGTATCATTCCCAAGTATTTATAGTTTTCTACATACTCGATAATGGAGTCTCCTAATTTTATATGAGGGTCTACACGACATTTTCGTTGTCTGAAAAAATGGATACTTTTGGATTTCGTAGCTGATAGTTTGAACCCAGTTTCCTTCGTCCAATTTTCCATTTTTTCAACAGTATCTTGTAACTTCCACTGGATGAACGCTAAAGATTTGCTACGCGCTGAGATTACTATATCATCAGCGAATAGCAAACATTTAGTGGGGCTCTGAATAGCGGATGTGATACCGTTAATTGCTACGAGGAAGAGTGTCGAGCTGAGGGGTGAACCTTGTGAAGTGCCATTTTCCAAGGAATGACTGGAGGAGAAAGTGTTTCCTACTCGTACACAACATTTTCTGCCAGTCAAAAAGTTTTTGATATATGTCCACATATTCTTTCCAATACCCAATCTTGCCAAGATTCTTAATACACGGCCTCTTGCCATTCTATCGTAAGCCTTTTCTAGGTCTAAGAATACCGCAATTAGGTGTTCTTTGTTAAAAAAAGCTTCTTCGGCTTCTAAACTTAATGACAGCAGGGGGTCAGTTGTTGAGCGGTTTGATCTGAACCCGAACTGTTGTGGAGAGAGGGCATTGCTTCTTTCCAGTGTATCGATAAGTCTGGTGTTTATCATCCTTTCTAGAGTTTTTGAAATGCATGATATTAGTGAAATGGGTCTGTAATCATTTGGTTGGATACTGTCTTCTTTTTTTTGGATAGGTACGATGATTGATTGCTTCCAACAGGAGGGGAATTCACCGGTATTCCATATTTCATTGTAGATGTCTAAAAGGTGCAGTTTACCATCTTCAGGCAATTTTTTCAAGAATTCGCCAGTAACTCCATCTAAACCAGGGGCTGACTTTCCAATGCATTTCTGTAAGGCAGAATTTAGTTCTTGCATCCGAAACGGTTCTTTACATCCTTTAAATTCGGTTGGTACTGAACTGTACCTTTCATGTATTCCTGAGGTATAATTGTGGATGTGATCATTGTTCGAGGTAGAAACTTCCTTGAAATACTTTGCTAAACCTTCAGCAATATCTCCAGGGTTGGTTATAATTTCTCCATTGACTTCTAATCCAGTAATTCTCTGCCGTTTCCCGATTCCTCTGAGGGTTCTTATCTTATTCCATATTTCGGTCACTGGAGTCAGATTATTTAGCGATGACACAAACTGTTTCCAAGATTCTTTTTTGCTATATTTGATAATTCTATTAGCTATCGATCTTAGTCTTTTGAATGCTATTGCATCTTGTAAAGTTCTAGTTTTTCTGAACCGATTAAGAGCTTGTTTCTTTGCTCTAATAGCATCACTACATTGTCTGATTTTCAGTTATATGTGCTATAAATAAAGAATTTATCAATTATTGTTTTGCAAAATATTGGTATTTATATAACAATTTTAGGAGAAAATATATATATTTTTTTGTCGCGTTTACTGAGATATTCTAAATAATAATTAGGGTTCACTTTGCAAATAAACGACTCTATTCATATCTAGAATTTTTGTTTAACTTTTCTATGTCTTTTACGGGTAAGAAATAATTATTGTATCTGGTTTTATAATTGCTTATAGTCTCGAAGAGTATCTGGAACGGCATACAAGAAGCACTCCTTTCTCTTACTACAAATAGTACCAAATACCCATTGTTAGAGTTATATTCTGCCCACGGCGCGCAGTTGTTGAAAATCAGTTTTTCTGGAGGGGGGGAAACCTGGCAATACTGATCTATATATAAGTCACAGAAAAATAGTCATGATACCATCATAATCACAACTAAATTGTCTATCAAATATCTACAGCAGAACCCCGTTTAACTGACTCTCCCGGTTAACTGAGGTTTAAAGAGATAAATCAATTTTTTTTCTCAGAATATGCTAACTAAATTATTGAAACTAATGAGATAGTTGTTTTTATTACATCCAATCTTGACCTATGAACTTCTATTAAGATAATTAATGGTGTGCCAAACTAATAAAGAGAAAATTAACAAGGTAACAAATATTTAAAATCTTGATATGGTGTGAAAGAAGAGAGATTGTGTATTTTACGTTTTCCAATAGCCTTGGCAGCACTTTTATTAAAATTGACCGAAACACTCAGGATCGGCTACGCAAAAAAATAAAAAGAACATTAACGGGCCTTGTGAAGACCATTAAATAGCGAACAATCGTTTATACGCTTAAATTAAATCATAAATTCGAGAAAAGAATACACTAGTCTAATCAATTTAAAGCCATCATATATTAATACACATACAACCTATAAACTAATTTTAGTAAATACTATTAATTCATAATTTTATTTTAACCGGTCATGTCTCGATTCTATATAGAACGGATAAACGAGATAGCATTGTGGTTTAAACAGTTTT